TAATTTTTCAAATGTTGATCGCGCCCTACCTGTAAGATGGCATTCAGCTAATTTAATTGGAGATCAAATGATAATAAGTTTTGGTATATTTTTACTTTTTAAAAAACTTTTTATTTTTTCAACTTTGAAGTTAATTACTAAATTACATATGTATGTAGGAAATATTACAAATAATGTTTCAGGTCCAAAATTACCTACTGCAAAAACTTATATACTTGATATTAAAGATCTTACTTGGAAGGAAAGTTATTCAGTACCTGCAGCACAATCACCATCAACACCAACACCAACAACACCATCAATACCGAAACCAGATACATCAACATCAATAACATCATCAAACACTTTTCTAATATTAATAATAGTAATTGTAATTTTAGTTGGAATAATATTAGTTATAATAGCAACATTCATGATTGTAAGATATAGAAAGAAAAAAAATACAAGTGAAATCATAGAAATTCCTAATGATGAACAGCTTCAACATAGAAATACCCTATCTTATCCTACTACTCCAACTCGATAATATTATGATATTGATTATGTCAACTTTACTAAGATTATTTTTTTAATTTATTAAAATTGGTAGATTACAACATCCCCTAAGTTTATTATTTATTTCTTGGAAAATATATTAATAATTAATATGTGAGCATTTAAAATAAATCATTTTAATAAAAGTGATTATTGAAACCTTTTTAAAGAAAGTTTAGAAGGTTACAATAAACAAAAGATTATTATTATAATAGCTGAAATATACTATGGGCTATTAATGTGTATAGAAATGAATGTCAAGCAAGAAACATTTTCAGCACCGAGGTTTACTTGTCATACTAATACTGTAACAGGATCCCAATAATTTTTTAAATATGCACATCTAATATAAGTTCCCGGCTAAGCTATAGCATGCTTTAAAAAATGCCCAAGTTTTTACAGGTAAAGTTTTTTTGCGTCCCGGCTAATATAAGGGCAAAATTATTTATAAAATATATTAGCAACAGTATACTACTAATACATTAGTAACGCATCATTTTTGGAAATTTTTTTACTTTCCAGACAATGAAGAATGCTCACAGCAAAAAAAGACCCTTATTACATATTTTGATTTAAGCCACAAAAAGGGTAAAAATAAATATAGTGAAGAAATTATACCTTCTAATACATTAAATCAACTACTTAATCACCCTTTAATTGCTGATAATATTCATAAAAAGCATTCCTTTAATGAAATTTGTGAGTGATACGGATGATGATGAATCTGATGAGTATAATGATAATCATGCTCATTTCGGGAAAGATTACTTGTAAAGTTATTATGCTTAAACATTTTCTCTTTTCGATTATTGGAACAAACTTTACGCTTAGCAAATTCATCATTTTCACCTATTAAATTATAATAATATCTGGCTCTCCACATTATAGTCGATCGTGAGTTTCTTCACACCTTTTTTTTATGAGGCAAAGATTGTGGTGTTTCCATCAAGAATCGTCAATTAAATTCGCTGAAAATCTTTACTTTATTAATATTAATATTAATATTAAAAACCAAATATTCGAATTATCATGCCCAATCAGATAGTAATACATATGTAAACTCGATAAGTCGGCCAAAATTTTCACCCCATTTTCTTAATATTTAAGTAATTTAATTCGATAAGTCGGTTTACTCGATAAGTCGGTCATATGAGCTCACTCCCACATGACCGATTTATCGAGTTTACATATGTACCACATTTTTATGAAATGCTATCAATATTTCCAATAAGCTTGGTCTTTGTGTGATTTCGCAATATTACAGACAAGTTTTTTACATTTAAATTTGTTAATTAATCACTAATAAAAAAATTATATATATTTGTTTTTTAGCATTTCGCATATTTTCATATTTCTAATTATCCTTTGTTTATGCTACTCTCAAAATGTCAGCAAGGCGTCGCAGAAAATGTAGTGATACTGACGTACCTGTAAATCTACAACACCTTTATCTATCAAAGAAACACTTGGTCGTGTGTATGCTGATTGTAATTCTACTTTATTGTTGATTATTTTAAGTTAAGAATACTAGCGCCAAATGACAACAATAAATGTAATATTTTATTATTTTATTACCTGCAAATTTTTTTATCATCATCAAAAATGTCGTTGATTCTATTCATGATCACATTGGTAAAAATCACCACAAAAACTAATGAAACAGTCTCTGGCGAGGTGGTGCTTTGGCTAAATGAGAGATTTCGGTTATTTAGAATTCAAGATGTTTAATGAATATTTATTTCATGATATAATTATTAATCTAATTACTCAAATTTCAGACCATATGTTCGTTTTCATTTTCAGCACGTCAAGCATGTACAGTCCTTGCTGAGGCCACCTTAACAAGATCATCACGGCACTTTTTATCTATTGGTAGGTATATTGCACCGGGCATCTCGTTTTCCATATCCTCTAACTCTTTACTTGTATATGCTGGTCCATACTTTTTAATTTCTTGTTTATATATCAATACCCAGCTATCTTCATGCCCATTGAATGTACCCCTATCTAGATTGTCAAAGAAGGCGATCATATTAAATCCTGTTTCGCCATCAAATTCCAAAGCATCTTCACCTGCTATGTAAAAAAAAGCTGTTCCTCTGTCATGTACATTCATTGAAGCAGGCCATTTGAAGTCAGGACCTACACGATCTACAAGGACATTATGTTAAATTATCGCAAATGTATTACTTGTACACTAAACTGAAAATTTCAGCTTTACCTAGAAATTTCAGAGCTTGCCCTGGACTTGTTTCATATTTGAGAAGAGAACTAACGGTCTCAGGTGGATTGGAAATTGGCATAGGTTAATCAAGCTGGTTGGGTGCTATATCAAGTGTTTATTGAGAATGAATTTTGATCATTTAATAACGATGGAATGTTAATGACAAAGCCAAACCTTTTTTTTTCCTTTCTTTAAAAGCTTGGGTATCTTGAATATACTCTCTCTTCCTGTAACAAGGATAATAAATAAGAAAAACGGTATAGATTTGGAAGGTTCAATATATTTTTGGTGTTTACCTTTCTTTTTTCGTTAGAAGCAGACATGATCAAATAAATTTCATGAAACTAATCAAAGTTAATATGTCTGTAATGAAATTACATCACAATTACACTGATATTTTATTGATGTTATCTGTGTACCTTAACAGTCACAGAACATGTCACGCAGATCAATAGTAATAGGGAGTTAGTTGTACAGTCAACCCTCCATAAGTGCACCAGACAAGACCGTGCACTTATAGAACAAAAGTATTTTATTGGTGTTATTTAAATGTCAATGTTCCTTCAAAAACTCCTAACCCAGTTACGATTTGCTTGGCCTTTTCAACTAAAATAGCATCACTTAAGATTAAGCGTCAAGTTCGTTTCATTGATTCCCTCAACCACGTCAATACAGAGGAAGGACCAACTCCATTCATGATTTTTTCACCAAGGGGCATTATGTGTAAGCCACAATCAAAGGAATAACTAATCAAAACTTTGTGTTATGTTTTGACCGCCCTTAAGGCATCTATTATCTTTCATTTCATCCATTGTTTGCTATCTTGAAAATGTAGGTATTTTATAAACGAATATCCATTCTCAGGCTCTCCACAAAATGAAAATCGTGCATCGCGATCTCCTTTGGAATAACGTGTTAAAGTCCATAGATCGAGACGGTTGGTTCATTATCGATTTCAATTATGCGTGCAGTGCTCTTTCAAATATTCCTAGCACACAATTAGCTAAAGAAAGTCATGAACCCGAGATTTTCAAATCCCATCACAACGAGAATGTTGATATTTGGTCTGTCGGATATTTAATTCTGTTGAGCTTCAAGGATCGGATTAATTGAAAGTCTATGCAAGGATGAATTCAATAGATCAACAACCGAAGATGCTTTGCGGTGATTTTGGAGGAAATATAGAGATGTTCTCGAAGATTTTTTTGGAAGAGAGAGGAAATGGATGAATCATAACTAATTATTGATAAAAATGTGAAACAGCTACGTCTGTTTGAAGGATTAATTTTTTAAATGCTTGAGTCATCCGTAAAATATTAATATAATAATAATGATTCAAATTCTGCCCGAACGGGTTGTTAATTTAGATTATATGGCAGGGTTGCGCAAACCCTTTTTCAACAAAAAAATCTTCGGCGTTAGTGTTAATTTAGGCACGTAATTTTTTTCCCGAATCTACTAGAATTCACAAATAATATCACCTTGACATTACGCGTTCATGGAAGCCTAGTTCTGGATTAATCTAATAAAGAATTTCTGACCGAGTCCAATCTCTACACCCACAATCGTGGTTTAAACAAATAGCGCTATTAAATCAAGGCACAATATATTTATGGTATAAATATTACAATGGTAAATATTACATATTTACGAGAGAAGGCCATACATAAATTAGTTCAATAATGGATTATTATTGTTTATCTGTAGTGATTGATTTGAAAATTTTGACTAATGTATAATTTACAATATAATGGACAAAAATATAATTTGCTTTTAATACAAAAACTGTTATCCATAGTCCTTGACTCTTTTCGTTTAACAATGTCTATTTTATCATCTTTTCTCATCAAGTCTGTCGGAGGGTTAATTTATCAAGTATCTCGAGTGCCTCCTTCGCTGTTTAATTGTGGAAAAATCGTGCCAATGAAATACTTTAGTTTCCATGATCCTTGTACCCAACCAAGAACAGAAAATTTCCTTTATTGATTGTTTACGAAGAATCTCAAATATCATCGCCCATTATGATATGTCAATCCTTCAAAATAAAGAAACCAAGACAAATCTATTAATCAATAATATATAAAATTCAATTACAACGCGAATATTATATGTAGTAAACCTTTCTTTACTTTAGGTAATGAATTAACATAATAAGAGCAATTTTATTATTATCATTATTTTTATATTAATTAATATAAATACATCTATCTATATATACACATACACGCACCAAAAAAATTATTTATTGTTTTTTGGCATTTTCTTCTTTTCGCCAATATCCTCTTTTGAATAATAATGAGGTGCCGCTAAATATTTTTATCAAGACAAAAAAAGTATTTTTGTTAGCCATATATTAAAAATAATGATTATTGATATTACTATTACGACCACCGTCACCACCATCACCACCACTAACCTTCAACAAGCCACTCAGGTTTTATTTCCATAACTTGGCGCATATATTCTTTACTCGTAAGTACTAACTCAAAATATAATACAAATTTTGGTTTTTCTTCAAATAATGAACTGCTGGGATGTATATGAACAACGCGACTTGGATCTCCAAATTTTAATTTGTGATATGAATCACTAAACATTGTCAACCTTGCAGCATTCATGAAAAATCCAGAAACTATTGACTATTATTAATAACACAATTTAAAAAAAAAAAAAGTTCAATATAATGTTTTTTTTCCATACAAACTCACGCTAATACGCATATATTTCTATTAATAACTATTCAACTAACTAACCTTTTGTATTGGAATTATGTCACCAGGATCAGGATTTGATTTTAATTCAACTTCAGTACGATCACATAATTTCACTAGTTGATCACGAACATCTCTTGCTCGATTCATGGATCGATATACTATAAAATTTTCATAACACCAACCCATAGAATAATTTGTTTCTGCCCACTTTATACAAATTAATTTGTTTGCAAAATGGCAATGTTATAATTCATTCAAAGGGAATATTCAACATATTATATTTTGTTATTATGACCACTTACTTGTTCCCAAATATTTAGTAACATGAGATGATCTCCACCAGGTTTAATGAAATTTTGATGAGCCTTATCAGCGTAAAATTTTTTATCCTTTGGTCTATAAAAAACCGAACTTTGTACCGTTAACATACAAACTATAGATATAACCTATAAAATATTTATTAAAATAATCAGAATAATAAAATTAATTATAATAATAAATATAAATATAAATATCGTTTACCTCTTCTGAGCAATGAAATTTCTCAGATGTTATAATTGTTTTAGATAATAAAGGATCTATAGGAAACTCGGCCATACGTCTACCCAATTTTGTTAATTCACCATCGTTGTTTAGTGCACCAAGTGCATACAAATCATTAAGTGCTGAAATCATTCCTTGTTCATGAGGTGGATCCATAAATTCAAACTTCATCACATCTACACCAATACTCTATAAATACAAATAAATATATATATAACAAAAAAAGTCATATTAATATTATACATTTGTTATTAATAAAAGTAAATATTTAGTATTATTAATATGCTCACTTTTAACAATAGGATAACATTAGACAAATTTGTTCTTTGAATTTCTGGAACTGTATCTTCTTCTAATTCATTGGCATAAGCATATTTCGTATATAATCTAAAGCAATGTCCAGGACCAACACGTCCTGCTCTGCCAGCTCTTTGGTTTGCCGAAGCCCTTGAGCACTAAAATATTTTTTGAAGAGAAAAATTTTATAATAATTATTTCTTTATAATGCATGCGTCTTCATTTATTAGCTTTCAATTATTAAAAAAAAAAATTTACCGGAACAACCAATAATGACTCCATATGTGTTTTTGAACTATAATGATTTTGTTTAACAAAACCTGGATCTATGACAAACGTAACACCATTTATAGTAATAGAAGTTTCAGCAATATTGGTAGCCAAAATAACCTAAATATAATAAAATTTTTTATTCATATTAATAAACAATTTTAAATATAAAAAATAAATAAAATTTTTTACAAACTTTTCGAGCACCAGGTGGTGTTGCCTCAAATATTTTAGCTTGCATATCAGGTGGAAGATTGGAATAAATTGGACATATTATTAATTCTTTTACTTTACTGCCAAGAACTCTACATGTTTGTTGTAAACTTTCTTGAACAGTCTCAATTTCTTCTTGACCCTAAGTAAATAGAAATATTAGTAAACAACAATAAAATAATCATTATAATCATTATTTATAATTATAAATGTAATGATATAAACTTACTGTAAGAAAGACTAATATGTCTCCTGTATTTTGTGAAATATGTATTTGCATAACGGTAGCTATTGCTGCAGAAATGTAATTTGCTTCTGGAGCTTTTGTATGACAAATTTGAACTGGGTAAGGTTTACCTGGAACTATTATTATTATTAAATTGTTTAAAAAAAATTAACTTGAAAAAAAAAATTATTAAACCTAAGAATACATCATAAGTATTATTAAAGCTTACTCCTAAAAATTGGTGCATCATCAAAATAGGCAGCAAATTTTTGAGCATTTAATGTTGCGCTAGATATTATAAGTCTAAGATCAGTTCTGACTCGAGAAATGTCCTTTTTATAGGTAAATTTAAAATCAGTAATCTTATTTCAAAATAAAAATAAAAGTTTTTTTCCTAAAATTTTTTTTACCTTGACCAAACCAAACAAAATATCAGTATGCAGAGTTCTCTCATGTGCTTCATCAATTATAAGACAGGAATATCCATCTAATAAAGGTTCACTCAAAAACTCGCGTAAAAGCATACCATCTGTCATATATTTAATTAATGTTTTGTCTGATGTACAATCCTCAAATCTAATAGAATAACCAACCTAATTAAAAAATAATCAATATTTAATTATTGATTGCTATTATTATATATATATATATATATATATAAAGACTATAACTTACCTCGAATCCAAGTTTAACGTTCATTTCTTCGGCCACACGAGCGGCAACACTCATAGCTGCTACTCTTCTTGGTTGTGTACATCCAATTTTTTTATCATCTTTCGTATAACCTGCTTCATAAAGATACTGTGGAAGTTGGGTGGTTTTCCCTGAACCAGTTTCTCCGATGACCACCAAAACTTGGTGATCTTCAATAGCTTTTAATAAATCATCACGATAAGTATATATTGGTAATGATTTACGAACTTCCTCGATGTTTTTTACTATTATATTATATATAAAATTGTAAAAATAAATATCATCGTGATCATAAAATTAAGAATTAAAAATAAAAATAAAAGTTTATAAAGCATTATTATTTGATTTATTACATTTTTTCTCTGCTTCTTCAATCCTTGCAAGAAGTGCTTCATCTTTATCATTTGCTTTCCAATCCCAATCTAGAAAATCAATCAATGGTTCTTCAAAAACGAACTCATAATCTTCTCCCTTTAGTCTGTCCTGTGCTCCAACATTTAATTGTGATTTCACAATTTGATTCTTTTCCCATACTTCTTGTTCATTAACAAATCCTTTTTGATCTCTATCTTCTTCATAACGTTGATATAATACTGTATCTTTCTTTTTTTTGTCAATCTTTCCTTTTTCTGTTATATAATCTATTTATTTTATTTTATTAAATAAATTATTAAAACAAGAAAAGTATGTTTAAAAAAAAATCCAAAAAATAAAACTTTACCTTCTGGCATATGATATTCATCAGTCTTTATTGATAAATTAAGTCTTTCTCTAGTAAGCCTTAAAGTTTCTCTCTTAAACTCAAGTTCCTTTTTCTCTTTTTTAGTGAGTTTTTCATCTTTAAATAAAAGATCTTCATCAATCACATCTAATTCTAACAAATGCATTTGTTTTGTTGCTCTGTCTTTTAAGTATGTTTGTCTTGATCTTTCCCGAATTTCGGGTAAATGTTTTTTGCGTTCTTCAGTATTATCCATATTTGATGCTGATTAGATCTATAAGAAATTTGTAAAAAGATTAGAGATTTACCAGTGGTGGAAGAGAATTTTAAAATGGATCTACATTGATGTAGATCACTATTTAAAATCTATTGATATTAAAGAATTTCAAAAATGTCAATAAGAACTATTAATTTATGGTCAAAATTTTTTTCGCAATATACAGCACCAACCACATTGTACACTCATTCTACAATTTTGCATTTAATTAGGCATAACAACATTCAAAAATCATTAATTTATAATGAACCACGGATTTTACAAATTACACGAGGTTTTCGCCGTGGAAAATCAAAACTTAGTTCAGACTCGTCTCAAAATTCTAATAGTGACGGATCAAAAGGTGATGATGGAAAGGGAGAAGGTGATAATAAGAATGGAAACCAAAACGGTTCTAGTAACGATAATGGTGGCGGTGGTGGTGGTAATAGTAGTAGTGATAATCCAAGTGATGGTAGTAAAGGTGATGGATCTAATAAAGGTAGTGGTGGTGGTGATGGACCTGCTGATACTCCGGCACCCAAATCACCATTTGAAGGAATACATAGGACTTTACATGTTTTGGAAACAACTATGCAAAAACCAACAATACCTGAAATCTATCCACAAGTATTGGCATTGCCAATTGCCAGAAGGCCATTATTCCCAGGATTCTATAAAGCTGTTGAAATTAAAGATGCAAATGTTACAGCTGCTGTGAAAGAATTAATGAAACGTGGTCAACCTTATGTTGGAGCATTCCTTTTAAAAGATGAAGAGCTTGATGTTGATACAATTACTAATATTGCACAAGTTTATAAAGTGGGAGTATTTGCACAGATCACAAGTGTTTTCCCTGCAAATGGAGCCCAAGATGAAAATTCTTTGACTGCTGTTTTATATCCTCATCGAAGAATTCGTATTACTGAACTTATACCACCAACAACACAAAGCAGCGCACCAGAAGCTGAAATTGTTGCTGAACCTGGTCCTTCAGTTAATGAAGAACCAATAAAAAAAGGTAAGTTAAAAATTTTAAATTTTTATAAAAGATTAATAAAGTTCTTAAAACCATACATATCAATTCAATTAATTCATCATTTTTTTTTTAAAAAAAAAAGAATCTGAACCTCAATATGCAACTTCATTCCTTGAAAATTATAATGTGTCACTTGTGAATGTAGAAAATTTACATGATGAACCTTATAATAGGAAAAATCAAATCGTTCGTGCCATTACATCAGAAATTGTTGCAGTTTTCAAAGATATTGCAACATTAAATCCACTATTTCGTGATCAAATTGCCAATTTTTCCATGTCACAATCTGCTGGAAATGTTTTTGAAGAACCAGCAAAATTGGCTGATTTCGCAGCTGCAGTATCTACAGGTGAACCAAATGAGTTACAAGAAGTTCTTGAGAGTCTAGTTATTGAAGAAAGATTGCAAAGATCTTTGTTAGTTCTTAAGAAAGAGTTAGTAAATGCTCAATTGCAAAGTAAAATCAGTAAGGAGGTAGAATCTAAAATTGCAAAACGACAAAGAGAATATTATTTGATGGAACAATTAAAGGGTATCAAAAAAGAATTGGGGATTGAATCAGATGGAAAGGATAAATTGGTTGAAAAATTCAAAGAAAAAGCAGAAAAACTTGCCATGCCAGAAACTGTTAAAAAAGTTTTTGACGAGGTAAAACAATTTATTTAATTAAAACCTCACTTAGATACATGCATTAGTATATAAAATTATCAATCCTGTACATTCTCAGTTTCTTTTTAATTTTATTAGGAAATTAATAAACTTGCACATCTGGAGCCTGCAGCTTCTGAATTTAATGTCACAAGGAATTATTTAGACTGGCTTACACAAGTACCATGGGGACAAAGATCTCCTGAAAATTATAATATTAAACACGCAGTGAAAGTTTTAGATGAAGATCATTATGGGCTTCAAGATGTAAAGGATCGAATATTAGAATTCATAGCTGTTGGAAAATTGAGGGGCACTGTTGAAGGCAAGATTTTATGTTTCGTTGGGCCTCCTGGTAAGTTATATAGACACATAGCATAAATCTTTATATCATTTGATTATAAATTGATTATTTTTTTTTATTGATAGGTGTTGGCAAAACATCTATTGGAAAATCAATTGCTAGAGCATTATCTAGACAATTTTATCGATTTAGTGTTGGTGGACTTACAGATGTTGCTGAAATTAAGGGACATCGTCGTACATATGTAGGAGCTATGCCCGGTAAAGTTGTCCAGGCATTGAAAAAAGTTCAAACCGAAAATCCATTGATACTGATTGATGAAGGTATGAATGAATAAAAAATATCCATGCTATATAGGTTTCAATTAATTAATCTAATAGCTTTTAATTTAAAATATATATATACATATAGTTGATAAGATTGGACGTGGCCATCAAGGTGATCCATCATCAGCTCTTCTTGAACTCCTTGATCCTGAACAAAATTCATCTTTCTTGGATCATTACATGGATGTTCCGATAGATTTATCAAAAATACTATTTGTTTGTACTGCCAATGTTGTGGATACTATACCGCTTCCGTTACTTGATCGTATGGAGGTGATTCAATTGTCTGGATATGTTGCTGATGAAAAGGTAGCAATAGCTTCTAAATATTTAGCACCTACAGCTAAAGAAATGGCAGGATTACAGAATGTAGAAGTTACAATTCAACAAGATGCAATTGAAACTTTGATTCGTTCATATTGTCGAGAAAGTGGTGTCCGTAATCTTAAGAAACATATTGATAAAATATATCGTAAAGCTGCTCTCAAAATAGTAAATGAAATAAAAGAAGAAATAATACCAGAAGATCAAGGAGTTATAAATAACAATAAAGAAACAGAATCGCCACCATCACAATCAACAACAATAGAGCAAGCACCAAAAAATGAGTTCTCCACAACTACAGAACCACAGAAACCATTAGAAGTTCCTGAGGGCATTCATGTTAATATTACCTCAGAAAATTTGAAAGATTATGTTGGTCCACCTGTATGGCATTCCGACCGTTTATACGATCATACACCACCTGGTGTTGTTATGGGTTTAGCATGGACAAGTATGGGTATGTAAGATTATTGACATTGATTGGGTGATTGCTTATTAAAAAAAACAAATCTTAATTTTTCGATATTTATTTATTTATTTATTAAGGTGGTTCCGCATTATACGTTGAGTCTACTTTAGAATCTATTATTAATAAAAAATCAACACCTTCACTTTCAAAAACTGGACAAATGGGTGATGTGATGAAAGAATCTACTACTATTGCTTATACATATTCAAAAAGTTTGATGGTTCGACAATTTCCAGAAAATAAATTTTTCGAAAAGGCAGCTATACATCTTCACATACCAGAAGGAGCTACTCAAAAAGATGGTATTTGTTTATATGACTGTTGCTTTATATTTTTTTTTAATTTTTTTTTTGTATTGAAAAATTAATAATAATGGATAATATTGTGATTAATTGTTAAGGACCATCTGCTGGAATTACTATGACCACATCGCTTTTATCATTAGCATTATCAAAACCTCTTGACCCTACAATAGCAATGACAGGTGAATTAACGTTGACAGGAAAAGTTTTAAAAATCGGAGGCCTTAGAGAGAAAGCAGTAGCAGCCAAAAGGTCAGGAGTGAAAACTATAATTTTTCCTGATGCAAATATAAGTGATTGGGAGGAATTACCTGATAATGTAAAAGAAGGTTTAACAGGTGTGCCAGTAGCATGGTATAACGATGTTTTCAAAGTGGTTTTTGGTGATATAAGTAAAGAATATGCAGAAAAGGTTTGGACAGATTTTTCAAAGAAATTTCCTGAAATAGAAGATAAAAAAGATAAAAAAATGAGTGATGATCAATAAAATTTGTATATGATATTTGGACATTGTAATTATTATTCAAAATAATTTTTCATTAATAATTCCAAGAAAAGTTTTATAAAATCACTATTTATTTATTATGGGAAATAAAATATACATGACAAGAAGGGCAATGCCCATTATTACTATAATTAATATCAAATTCGTTACACGAGTATTTCCCGTAATATCTTTCAATTCTAGATTTTTTAAAAAAAAAAGTAAGCTGTTATTTTAATTTAAAAAAAAATTTTTTTTCTCAGTAAAGATGATGATGATTCATGACAATGGCAATTAAATTTAAATTAATTTTTGAAATTGTAGTTACGTGGACACTGGACTTGTTATTAAAAATATCACCAGGGGAAAAGAATATGCTGTTTTGTTGATGACGATTTCTAATCACATTACATTATTGTTATTATAAACGTTTATGTCAATTTAAATTTTGGGTGGAATGTTTGGATATAAAATTATGATTAGCTAATTGAAATTCACGCGCGTGAATTTCAAAAAATTGACAGAGATTTCAAATTCACGCACAACCACAATTATAGTTGGTTCCGTAATTCCCGTTATTATTATTACTATTACTATTACTATTACTATTACATGGAATTACGGTGATAGTAATAATAGGGTATTAGTATATTACGGTCACAGTATCTTGTTATATTATGCATGTGTGGCTTATCGCACGGCAATGGTAACGCGCTAATTAAACTTTCTAATTGATCTGCAAAGAACTGTGCCTCACAAATAAAAATTCAAAAGAGAGGAAGAGGAAAAAAATCAAGTTCGGATTAATAAGAATTTATCTACTTTGTTAAAGTTTGAAGTTCAATCACAGTGTGAGGTCTTTTTTTTTTTTAAAAAAAAATTATATATTGTTGGCACAATAAATAAATACTAAATTTCGAGTCGGCTTGAGCTGTCTTGACCGGGATCTTGAGAACATGAAAATAACGTGGAAACAATTCAAGCTTTCGTTATACACTGTGTGTAATTTGATTGGCTGAAGATATTCACAATTCATCTCGATTAAATTTTTCTTTAAAAAATAATGTTTAATAAATATTTTTCAACTATTAATCCGAAATATCTAAATATCCAATTTCAATTTCAAAATCTCAAAATAACAATAACTTCAAGATATCTATATAATAGTAATAAATTACTAGATGACTTTAACAACAATAATTCTAATGAAACATTACCACCACCATCATCGTCACCAGATAATGGAAAATTTACAATTTCTACTGAAAGTGAAAAAACCCAACAACAAACGAAATCAGATTTAGAATCTTTATTGTTTCCTTCCGCCTCTTCTCTTCATCAGCCTCGCCCGTCTCGTTTTCAAGTATACTTAAAGAGCATAGTAGATTAAGCACTAATACGATAACACCATCATCCCCTTCTTACATGTTGAGACAATGGGATAGAGCGCCAGGAAAATTGACAGATTCCAACATCAGCAGGATTCTTAATCCAAGCATGATGCAACAAATCGTTTCATAAGGATCGACGGATTGGCAAGCACTGTAATTACTAAAAATATTTTGTTTTTGTCAAGTGAAGTAAACGGATATCAAAAAAGTATTGATGATGGTAAGATATTTTTTGCATATTATTTAGATTACAATTATAGATTAATTGCATATTATTATGAGCCACTTAATACATCAATCAAAGTTTTAATGCTTCGTAATCGCATTTTCAATTTCAATGGATCAGTAATTGTTCGATTCAAAAGTATTACGTTTGCAGAAAACTTTATATATATACGCACCAACTGAATTTTTTTAAGTGGTGGAGGTCAATTGAAAATGAATTTATTATACGTAAATTAAAATTAAAGCTTACCGCCTTATGATAATTATTATTATGATTATTATAATTACAGTTGAAAGCACAAGACTTTGGTTATGAGGAAATGCTAAATCAATTGAAAATGTATAAAAAAAGTACTATTATGAAATTTGGTCCGAATCAAGGAAAAAGTGTCATAATTACAGGAATTCCAAAGGACATTAATTGGATAATTAGATCAAAAATTTTATCTGATTTTCCCTTCACTTAGAAATGAGGAATATATTTTTCCTTTGCCAAAGTAAGTTTTCATTATTGTAATTATGAATTTATTTTGAATTAATTATTGTTACACAAAATTTACTCAACTACCTCGAGATTTCTTGTTAAATTAAATAATACAAATGATGCATTCCATATTGCAAGAATATTTAATAGTACCTATTTTTTCCCAGGAACATTATGGTGAAAAATATAAAATAAAAGATTTCCGTGACATATTAATAGAATATATTTGGTATGTTATAAATATTTCCAAGTTATATAACAAAAATAATAAAAATAAATATAATAAATATAATAAATATAAATAAAATATATTACAAAATAACCCTTTCCCCACTCCCCAATCTATTATTTAACTCGTAGTAGTAGCTAAAGGAGTACCAATTGATAAATTATTGGTGGGTAATCTACTTATTGTAGTTGATTGGCCTGGTTGTGTCCTAAAAATTCAACGTAAAAATGATTTAATAAACGATTTTCAATAAATAAATATGCAATTAAATTATCAAATAATTAATTACATTATATCTTTGGCAAATGGCTTCCAAGTTGATGAAGTTGGAACATTATTGTTTGTAGCAACAGAAGTAGGAGTCGCAGCCAAGGTGGTATCATCAACAATATTATATGAAGTTGTTTCTTTTTTTGTTGCATTTGAAGTGGTTTTTGTTGTTTTTTTTGTAGCTGCAGCTTTGGAAGTTGTAATTGGTTCCTTTTTATTTCTTGCCATTGCTGTTGTTGTCGTTGTTTTTGTTTTTGTTTTCGATTTGGTTGTTGTTGTTGTTGTTGTTGTTGTTTCTTTGGTTGTTGTTGTTATTGTTATTGTTGCAATTGGAGCTTCTTTTGTTACTTCTGGTGTTGTCGGTTCTGGAGTTTTTTCTGTTGGTGTTTCATTTGCTGCTGATATCGTTTCATCTGCTGTCGTTGTTGTTGAATCACTTGATTCAACAACTACAAATGTTGGTGCAGGTGTGGTATACTGACTGAATGGAATAGATTATTTATTATTATTATTATTATTATTATTATTATTAGCATTAGTATTAGTATTATTATTATTATTATTATTATTACTAATATTATCCGTAAACAGAACTTTCTCTTTATTTTAACATGCAAAATTATTATAATTACTTTATTACTTACGAAAACGGTCCGTCTCTTCTTTCCATTCCAATATTATTGTGTTGTGCTGTAACATTTAACATTATTGCATTCAACAACAATAAAAATATTAATAAATACGGAAAGATATCTATTTTTCTCTTTACTAGTGGTATTAGTATTGATAATATCATCTTTGATTAGAATTTTTTTATTCAAGAATTTTTTAAATAAATAAATAATTGATTGACTAATTGGTCATGAAAAGTATAAATAGTAAAAATCAGATTGTTTTTTTTTTGGATTTTGTTTGCAACGCAAAAAGTTTGATTTTGGAAAATTATTATTTTTCAGCCAGCATACCTTATCCCAAGCATAAAGAATGATCACCACTTAGGTGTGCTACTTGCACATGAAAAGTTCCTGATATAATTCAAGGTTCGTTGTCATTATTAAGTTTTTTTCCTTCGACATAAAAAAACTATCGATACCATTGCTTTTCCAAAATTCTGATATAAAAAGATGATATCGAAATGGTGAACAAAGATGTCATTTTTTATATTTTAGAAATTTCCTTGATAATGAATGACAGGAGAAAGGACGGACACACACTCACATATATCATTTTTTATTAACCCAGTTAATAATTCAAATTAGCAAAGAGTAGATAATTATACCAATTATCATCAAATGCGAGCAGTAAATTTTTTATTAGAAAAAAAACGGCAGTTTGTAAAATATTGTTTATAATGTAAATAAAAATCATATCAGAGAATCGGAAGATCTTAAATTATAATAAAAAATTTTGCATTTAATTGTTTTTATTTGACAAAATTCTAGAAAGTCGATGCATGAAAGTTTATATGCAAAATCTCTAGAACTTTCTCTACAAATGGGTATAATTTTTTGTCAGTGCTATTATTAAAAAATTCCATATTAAATTTCTGTTGTGTAATTGTTGAGATATAGAATTTTTTTGTCATCGCCGTTTTTTTCTTAACTTTTAAATACTCCTATTTCCTTTGGGCGGGATAGGATATATTAAAATGGGACAAATTCCGACGGAAAATTCACCATGATTAATGTCAATTAAATTTCCCTGGACGAGGTAAAATAGGTTTCGCACGGGTTGAAAAAATTATTTAATGTGATTAATTATCTCATTTAATTTCATTTAAACTTATTTAATCTCATCAATAATGTCATAAATAATGGTGCGGAACAAACAGTGTGTTTTCATTTCATTCATCAATACATGAAACACAGGACAATCAAGTTTCATAGAATGATTAGATAAGAAAAAAACTGCGTTAGTGTCGTCACAAAATTTCACAATTACATAACGAACGTAATTATTTCATTTCATTCATTTCATAAAGTGCATGCTCACTGCATAATAATTTCATCACATTGTACATATAACACAAGACAAACTCATTCAATAACAATAATATTCTTCATGATGGATATTATCGGTGACGCTTTTTTTTTACATAGATAGTATGTAGATATTAATATGTTGCTTGTCGTCTTCTTTAAAAATAAGATCTACAGATTCACCACTTATTAAAAGTTATGAAATTTCAAAGCTTTAGAAATTGTACAGTTCTCGCGCTCTATTTACGAAAAAGTGTACATTGTTAATAGTAAAATACAGACTTGTACTAAAAGGAGTAGTACTCGATAGTTTAAAAATCACGTGCAGAATTGACGTGCGGCAAGAGTATTCTCTATCAACAAGATTTTGACTGGTACCAGTTCTAATACTTGTTTTTTAATCACCAGAATTGTTTCCTTCTTTC